AGGCTTAAAAGGGTAAAACAGAGTATCTTTGCAATGATGGAATATTCTATTTCTTTTTATTTTTTCTAAGATTTATTTATTTATGCACTCAAGAACTGGGGTGCAGGTCAAAGAGGTAGGGAGTGAGAGGATTCACTAGAGACAGAGTGGGGAGCAGAACAGGTGGATCCACTAAAACACACTGCTGTTCTTGACTGTGGTATTGGTCATGTGAGTCTACACGTGACAAAATGAGACACATGCACTTCGCACCAGTGTCAACATCCTGGTGACAACTTCTATACATCTCAGTTCACAATTCATAGGTGCCGGGGATATCCTATGTTTGCATTCTGCCTACTACCTGACACAAGCTATGCAGTGTCTATCGTCTGACAGATTCCAGGTAGCTCAGGAAAAGCTCTGAAAAATCAGAATTTCCACTGCTAACTTAAGTTATGACCTCACTTTTTTGTATAATCATAATATCAAAAAATATTGTAGCAACATCAGTTTGTAACTGGATTGCCTTAGCTCTAAATTGGCTACCTGGCTGGGCAAAGTACAAGCTGAGCTGCTCCTGGGCAGGAAATTTCCTTTGACTGAAGACAAAAGGAAAGCTCCTGGAGAGATAAGACCCGGGGCATCAAGACTCCTGGAAAGCTTCCTTGGTCTCTTGACAAAAAGTGAATCTTAGATAACTCCCAGGGCATAAGGACCCATGGACACTTTCCTAACATTATCAACACAGGTTTTGCTTAATGCATAACTATGTGACTTCTTCTTAATTTACTCTTTTCCTAAAACAATCACTAACTACTCTCTGTTAGTCTTATTTAACCTCTTCCTAAAACAAACACTAGCTACTCTCTGCTAACCTTAAGTTAGCCATTAGCTTTGCTTTAAACTATCACCAATGCCTCTGCTAACACAATTTATTCCTTCCCTAGGACTCCTAAATCCTTTGCTGACAGCTCATCCTTTCCCAGACCCTGATCCTTTGAAGTCCTAGTTAAACATCCGGATACATGAAAGTTATCACAAAGATGTATAGTATAGTGTGCCATAAAGTAGCAGGAAGAGGATGCATTGTCCTTCCTTTAAAACTTTTATGCCTATTTCTTATCAACTTACCTGATGCATTATTGTAACTAAATCTTGCTACACAATATAAGTAAAGACCTGCAAAAAGTGAGCAGGAACACTTGCACCCAACTCTGACTCTCTTGTCTTCCTTGCCCTCCTTTCCCCTTTTTCTCCTTCTCCCCTTTTTAAGGAATCTCCACTCACTGATGCCTTCCCACCTTAGGGTCCTGCCTGTCTTGCCTCCAGACACCTCAATAGTTGGAGCTGGTTTCCAACAACTACCCCTGTAACTCATCCTTCTGCCCATGTCAGCTAAGTTCCAAGTGCAGCTCCTGAGAGCTTTCACTACCTCCAAGCCACGAAGCCCAGAGGCTTCTGGGAATTAATGCTGCTCTGTAACCAGTAACTAACCTGACCAGTGGTAAGTACAAAAACCTTCAACTGTCTCTCTCTCTTCAGTTAATCAAAGTGATATCAAAGTGTCAGGTTTTCATGCCGAGTCTCCCAGCCAGGAACAGATCCCAGGCTGCAGTGCTGAGCCCGACCACTAGACCAGCACCTGCAGGTGGCTCATGAAGCCGCAGCAGGAACTTCGCAGATGCTCAGGCAAGCAGGGGAGGAGGCAAATTGGTTTAGAGCAAGAAAAGGTTTATTGAGTATAGGGAACCTGCCCCGATTTCAGGCTGTTGAAAGGCAGACACAGGCGGGAGCCTAAGGTGGGAACGACTTCCAGCAAGCAGATATTTGAGGAGGAAAGGAATGGAAATAAAGTGGGACTCCCAGGCAGGTGGAACCAGGCCAGGGAGGGGCAAGGAAGCCTAAGTGGAGTCATGCTTTAGGGAATATAGACCTTCTTGCCCTAATTATTCTAAAGCCCCATCAGTGTTTCTGTGACTGGTTAGTTCTCAGTGGTCTCACTCACTGTCTTAATGTCTCTGTGCCCTGAACTAAGTCCCTGTGTCCCAGCTCTATTCTTAGCATGCTTTATCATTCCTTTTTTCTGAAATATTCTGTTGCCTCTAGTCTTGGAGTGGAGTGTTTGATGACTCCCCTTTGGAATTTACTGCCTTTATCTCTGGAGCCTCCTTTAACTCTTCTGAAGCCTGTTTTTTTTTTTTTTTTTTAAAGATTTATTTATTTATTCATGCAGAACTGAGGTACAGCCAGAGTTGCAGGGGCAGTGAGAGGTTTCACCAGAGACAGAGTGGGGAGCAGAACAGGCAGATCGACGAAGTACACTGCTGAGGGGAGCAGTG